CTTCTGCGTTTATCTCCCACCAACTTTCACTTAGTTTTGGGGGGTCAGGGTCGCTTGTTGCTAGGCAGGATTGTGGTGGGAACGGAGGTGGTTTGGGGAAGCATTCTGAGCTAGGAAGCCTCGTTCCTAGATGATGTGTGTTGTAGCTTTTCTTGTTTCCTCTAAAACAGTGTTTCTCAACCTTGGCGACTTGAAGATGTCTGGACTTCAATTCCCAGAATTCCCCAGCCAGCAACGCTGGCTGGGGAATTCTGGGAGTTGAAGTCCAGACATCTTCAAGTCGCCAAGGTTGAGAAACACTTCTTTAAAACCCAGCTGTGTGAAGGCAAGCTTGTTTTAAAGCCTTCCCTTCTGGGTTAAATTCAACACAGGCTTTTCTTCACTTTATTTGTCAGCTCTGATTTATTCTCCAGTCGCAAATCGGTTACATTTCTTGGGGGTTTGGACCACTCTGTGTGTGTGCATTTGTCGTGAATTATTCAGCAAATGAGCTGCAGGCTCTGACAATTCGTCTCTAACGCCTTTGGTATAAAGATGTGAGAGCTGGATGGAGCGGGGTTCCAAGAAATGTATAAATGCGCTAAGGCTTAATGTGCCAACTCTGGAATCACTCAGCGACGGTGTTCACACAACCCATTTAGCCAGCTCCGTGAAGGATCTAGCAGGCTGCATTGACTCCGTACGCCGAGCCCGATTAGCGTTAATGTTGGTTAATTTTTCGTGTGGTTTTATGTTTTGGGCGAACCCAGCTTGTTGGGTTCCTCGGGTTCAGACATGAGTGAATGCAGCAGACAGGCACGCAACGTGGTGTGCAAACGGTGGGTCTGTGTGTGCTCTGGTTGGGAACCAGAGGACCCCTCCCCTGCATAGGTGCTCAGCGACACTTTGCAAGGAGCTGGAAAAGGAGTTGCGGCTGGTGGGCGAGGGGTTTGGGCGCACGCCGCTGCAGTCACTCTTAGGGGCTCTGCTGAGCAAACGGGAGCCATCGGTGCCAAGTCGTTCCTTGGCAACCTGTGATGCGTTCAGCCTGCGGTCACCTTGTCTGTGGATTACTGCAGGGCAATCACGTGGGGCTGCCCTCGAAAGCCCCTCGGAAGGTGCATACGATATGATGGGAGAGAAGGGACCTGTTCCCAGGCCTCTCTATTAAGCGGTGGCACAGCTATGAGGAGCAGGCCACGTCATGCCCGTGGGACACCTTTGCTCCGGGAGCTGCACTGGTTTCCCACAGGCTTCCGGGTGCTACTCAAGGTGCCCCATAAAGCCCCCCGTGGCCCAGGACCTGGCTATCGGAGGGCCGGTTGTTTCTGCCTGACCGATACAATCGGACAGAGAGACGTGTTCACAGGCCTCTCTACGAAGCGGTGCCATCTGGGGGGACCTAGGAAACGGGCCTTCTCTGCTGCGGCACCTGCCCTGTGGAGCCCCCCACCTGGCTGTGTCCAAAGAGCCCTGGGAACGTAGCCTTGGGGTTGACCGGCAGGTCTGTCTGTTGGGGTGCCTGTTCCTTCTTTGGGGGACTTTTGCTCGTATTTTAGTAATGAAGTTACTGTATGCCACCCAGAGTTGCCATAGAATTGGATGGTCTGATCAATCTAATCCTAGTCATAATCTCCCTGTCCGTCTGGATGGGCAGCACCGGGAGTTGGGGGGCCTCTTTCGTGGGCCTTCTGGTGGAGGGGGCACGCTGGGGGCCACAGCTCTTTTTCCCCAGAGCAGCTGTGTGTTTGCAGGGCTCAGCTTCACCCCCTGCCTGTTAACATCTATATGCCGCCCTGGGAGAAGGGAGCTCTTCCAGAAATTTGGGTTGGGCTGGGTTGGTGCCCAGAGGCAGGAGGCCCCAGCTTGGTTCCTCCCTTTCATCGTGAAGGAGCAGGAAAGGGTCTGAGTCAGTGCCTACGAGTTGGGAAACTGGCTGGATTTCCCCTTCCAGAGGCTCCTTCCAGAGGAGCTGGGGGGTCGGGTTGAGGGGCCAGGGCCAGCCTTTGCAGGAGACCCCCGGGGGCCTCTCGGTGAGACCCTTGCAGCAGGGCGACCTTGGAGGGCAGCGTTAGCGAAAAGCAAGCCACGGGCTGGCTCCCGGGGCTGGGAAGCCTTCACAATGCTGGGTTTGCAGCTGGCCGGGCCACCCTGAGTGGGTTGGGGTAGAGATCTCAAGGGGGTCCTCTCCCCTAAGCAGCCCCCAGTGGCCACTCTTGGGTGACCTCTGAAACTGGCAAAGGCTGGCTGGGGGGCCACCAGGGAATAGGCCCCCTAGTTCTGGGTCCCCCTTGGGAAATCTCCTTTCCAGCTTAATAAATCATCATCATCATCATCAGAGGATCTTTTCATTTCTCTCTACCCCACCCAAGATATCTCAGCTAGCTTTGAAGACAGCTCAGCAAATTAGTGAAAAAAATGGCAAGTACAGGGGAGTTCCTTAAAATATCGACACCAAGAGATGGAAGAGGTCCTTAAAGACATTTATCCAACCTCCTGCTTCATCCAGGATTTCAAACTGAAGCATCCCTGTGAGGTGGTTCTCATTCTTTGATGGGACACATTTAAGGAACTTGGTCTTCTCTGAATCATGGCTTCCACTGGCCAGTTGCCCTTTCTCTTGGGAAGAATAATTAACGCTCAACTAGGATCTGCCTTCCTGAAATTTGAATCCATTCTTCTTTGTCCTGCACTCTGGAATGATAGATGAACATCTTGACTTTCATCTGTAGACCAGTGTTCCTCAACCTCAGGCACTTTAAGATGGGAGTTGAAGTCCACCCATCTTAAAGTTGCTGAGGTTGAGGAACACTGGTCTGTAGGACACCTCTTAAGATATTTGGAGAAGGGTCTTCTATTCCCCTTCTTATTTTCAAAAGCTAAACATGTCTAGCTCCTCTCTATTTTAGCCCCCAAAACAAGGAGTCTGGTAGCACCTTTTCTGACTCACAAATTCAAAGGCACAGGGTGATGGAATTATTCTTTTCCGTGATGGGGAAATCAGTTGAAGTCTAAATCTGCATTAAAAGTCTAAATCTGCATGGTCTCAATCTGCATCTGCTGACTCACATTCGACTTAGGATCAATTCGGCTGTATCTCTACATGGATGTCTGCTGTTCAGCAGAGGACTTTGTGTTGGTCTCTATTAAATGTCATCTTCTTCTTTTCTCTCCTCGATGGAGATGGTTTTGAAGGTTGCTTCTGCAGAATTAGTGACCTCATCCCAGGGTGATAAGTGCTCCTACCTGCTTTTCATCCGGGTCATTAATGGAGATGTGGGGCTGAGTGACCCCTATGGCATTGGAATGGGTTGAGATCCCAAGGCACCAAAGCTGTCCCATCTCAAAGCTGCTGGAGATGTTTGCTGGTGTGGGGTATAGCCCTAAATGTGTGAACAGTTACACTATAGTCTGAGTAATGGGAAGTCCCACACGTCTTGAGTGAAGAGTCTCTTCATGGGGCAAGAGACTGTCCCAGCTAGAATGAGAATATGGGAGGAGAATCAAGTCATGATAGAAAGATGAACGTTTGAAGTCCAGTGAAACAGAAGAAGGTCAGCAGATTCCAAGGCTGGAGAACAGAATCATCACGATGGCAGCTTCGATGGTTTAGTAAAATTGCCATATTTAGAAGTAGACTTTTCTTGAATGCCAGCTGATAAGGACCATTGAAGATCAGCACTGGAGCCTTTAGAAGATCAGATCAAAACCCACAGAGTCCAACACTTTAAACCACTTGAGAAGTAGTCCAACTTGAGTTCATATCAACTTTTGGACCCCCAGTTGGCTTTGCCAAATGTTGTTGTGAGGAGCAATTATAGGCAGGTTCCCCCCACCCCTCTCTTGCAGCCCCCAAGTTTTAGAACAAACTTCCCCAACTTGGGTATCCTCCAGATGTATGGACTTCAGTTCCTAGAATTCCCCAGACAGCGTGGCCATCCCTGAGAATTCTGGGAGTTGAAACCGAAACTAGACGTTAGTGGAGCATCTCCAGTTGTCCAACCTGAGCTGGTATGATAAGAGGGAGATTTGGCGTGGCTCTGTTGTTAAATTAACCTGGATGACAGGCAGTTTGAATACATTTCAAAAAAGCTTTTCCACCAGCTGATAAACTACCAATTGAAATGGTGAGCTGGTGGTGACAACTAGCTAATGTTGGCTGATTTCTTTAAAAGTGAAGGCAGGTCAGACCAGGGTTAATATTTAGATGGGAGACCACCAGGTGATAAACTTCACCTGGGAAGTTAAAAAAAAAAATCCCACAAAGACAAACCATTTCCATGCTATGCTGCTTCCAGGTACTCATCAGGCGCTGAGTTGAGCTGAACCCACCGGAGTCTTTATTTTCCTGCCAGGGCATCTGGTAACCCTTTCCTTGAAGAGAAGGCCCAGATAATTTAGAGGTTATACAGAAGCGCCCTCTTGTGGGCAGAATCGTCGTGACAGGCCGCGCGTTGGTGTGATCCGTGGCTCGCGTCTAACCTTGGTGGTGGGTTTTAAAAGTGGGGTGGAACATAATGGAATGGAGAGGCACGTGTGAGGTTTGTCTGGAGAGGGAAGAGCTAGGGCAACTTTGGGGTGGGAAGCTGGCTGGGAAAAGGGGCAGCGGAAACAGTCCAGTTTCTGATCCCCTATTTTGCAGCTCCCTCAACTGCAGGCGAATTAATATCAGCAAATCCGAGGGCGGTGGTGGAATGCAATAGTGAACTAGCTGGCCACGGAGCAGCAAACTGCAGGGGGCCCAGATGGCACCGTCATGCACAATCTCCCCCAAACTGATTGGCGGGTTGCATTTCTGTCCCTTCTCGAGGCTCATTTAAATGTGTCATCCGGTGGGCATTGGCATTGCATAGCCGGAGTGTTTGTGTGCCCCTGGCCCCGTGGCTTTCCCGGCAGGCTTTGGCCCTTATGGCGCCTTGGCCTCAGTTTTCCCTGTCTGTGAAATGGGAACAAGTGATCTCGTTCTTCGTCCCACGGGGTTGGGTCCAGCTTTGCGAAAAGCATGGATTGGCTGAGCAAAACTCTTGTTGGGCTGTGCTGAATTAAGCTTCGCCTCCCTTCTTCGCGGCATCCCCTTTCTAATGCAGAGATTTTGGATTAAAGTTGGCCTACGTTGCACAAAAGGATGTCTACCCTTTTGTCGTACTCGAGGAAGACCAGACCTTTGGCTCGAGGGCTGGAAGGTATCGCTGGAGACCCTCCCCGGTTTGAACAGTTGCGCGCAGGAGCCCCTAAGTGCCAAGGGGCAATTAAGCAAGGTCTTGGCAATTTGCAACCTTCCTCTTATTACCTTTTGCGTCCGACAATGGATGATTTTTCATCTTCCGTACATTTATGTTGTCAGTTTGATAGCACGCCTCACGCCGGACTCCCTGCTTTCCCCTGGGCGCAGGGTTTCCGCAGGGTGCAGTCAAAAAAGTCAAGATGGCTTCAGTCACACTCGTGTGGGTGCCAGCTTGACTTTTTTGACCACACCTGGGGCCGGATCTGTTTTTAATGCCCTGAACACCAAAGCTTTGGAATGGAGAATTTTCACTAATTGAGCTTTTAAAAGCGAGGATGGGAAGAAGAGGAAGTCTCTGTTTTGCAATGGAGCCAAGCTCGGATTTTATTAATTTTTTGCTTCATGCTTGATGCTCTCAATTCTTATTTCATCTCTCTCACCGTTAACAGAGGGCAGCCCAGTCTCCAGAAAAACTTAATCATTCCTGAATTTTGCTGCCCTTCCCCTCTCCTCCATCCCCAATTACGGCAAAATAATGTAAAATAATTGTGGGTTTTTTGAGGGTAGTCATGGTGCCGCCTGTAACACAGCCTGCGAGAGGAAGACTCCTAGAAGGAGTTAAATCTTTTGGGTGGATTTTTTTCAGCCACTAAAGACCCTTCGGGTGTCTTTCCTCCCAGCAGGATTCTTGGGATATTAAACGATATCCCAATTGCTTCGGCACAAACCCACTTCCTCCAGAGCAAATCTCGGGTTTAGAGCAACTCGTACCTGGCTTCCATCTGACTCTTTCTTTCTTCTTCTTTTTTTGCTGCCTTTTCCCCTGCGTAGGTCTCGAAGCACCGTTGGGACTGTGAATTGAAGCACGAGGCATGTCCTTGCAATTCCATGCTTGCCCAGCCACGTCACAACGCGTCCCCAGTGGAATATTTCATTAGACACAGCCAGAAACCGTATTCAGGTGGGCACGTGGTGGCACAGACCAAGCCCTCTCCCCGTTATCCATCCAGCTGCCCACGTGGGGTGTCCTGATGCATTTAAGCGTGCCCCTCCTGAGTGCAGGGTGGGGCTGGCATAGCAGTGTCACTGCACATGCTCAGACATTGCAAAAGTACATTTTGTTCCTTGCTTGCAGGCAAAAAACAAGCCAGTCTGTCCAGCTTGTTTTCTGCTGGCAATCGCCAATTACCGACTGAGAACAGACCAGCATCAGCCAGTTGCTGCTGGCCTATTTTTTTGCTGACAAGCAATGATTAAGGTGCCATTTTTTTAATGCTCCCCTCCGCTTGGATGTATTTTAAACGTTTTCTGGGAATCAAGTTATGTCCCTCAACTTCAAATACTGATGTCCCGTTGAACATGGGCCATTCTTTGTTTCTGAGTACCTCACACTTACAAGATCTGAATTGTTTTATTTCTTTGTGTTTTGGGTGCTGGCGCTTCTTGGGGCAGGTTAAAAGGGCTTGGTGACCAACAGAAATAAACAGGTAGCAAAAACTCCAGATGAAACAAACCTAAAATGGCGCGTAAAGGGCAAAGAAAACCCGTTAGTCATTCAGAGCCTTGGAGCAGCCATTCCCCAGCCTGACACCCTCCAGACACCTTCCATCATTCACAGCCAGTGTGGTAGGGAAATGGTGAACAGTCACACCTGGCAGGAGCACACCTAGGTAGTGTTAACTGGCCATCTTTTGAACCTACAGGGATCTTGCTGGATCAGACTAAAGCTTGCTCCATCCAGAGGCTACATTTCTGGAGGTGGCTTGTGTCTGGTATACTACTGCTGATCCTGGGGGTTTGTTTCCATTCCTGGGCAATGATCCTGGGCAGTTCTGTCCTTGAGCCCCCACCCACCCTCGTAGCTCCTCTCTAACCACATCAGGGGGTGGCATCATCAGGCCTAATTGGAAGGCTGTTTTAAAGCATTGCTTGGAGGCAGCTGGCTGGAATTCTAATATTGTGGAAGATACTTAAATTGTTGGGGACTGAATACTTGCCATCCCACATTAATTATACTTCTACAGAGTTGGACTGGCATGGGAATTGGGTGTAGATTTGTTCTGGTTCTGGCCACGTTTTGGAGCACACCCCTCTCCATCCCTTGCTGGAAAACCTTTGAAGACCTCATGCCGTGGGTGATCCCCTGTGTCCTGCTTCTGCAGAATCCCTCCTGTTGGTCCCTGATCAAGCCTCTGGGTGCCAGGTGTGCTTATAGGATGCTCAAGACCTTCCCTTCTTGCTCCCTTCTACCTGCCTGCAGAACACACCCGAGATGGCCTTGCCGGCGGACAGCTGTATCCAGTTCACTCGACATGCTAGTGATGTTCTCCTTAATCTCAACCGCCTTCGAAGCAGGGACATTCTTACGGATGTGGTCATCATTGTCAGTCGGGAGCAGTTCCGAGCCCACAAGACAGTCCTGATGGCCTGCAGGTGAGAGGCGCCGATGCCCCAAACACGTTCACCGCGGCAAATTGCAGCAGGCCAAACAGCCTTGCAGAGGCGGGGAGACACTAAGGCTGTACTGCCCCTGTTTTATGCCTTTGAATTCTCTTTCCCCAACCTGATTCCCTTCCCTTCCCAGAATCCCTAGCCACATAAGTTCCTGGGAGTTGGAAGTCTGGAGACCTCCACGTTGGGAAACGCTGGTTTAAAGAGTATTGAGTTGGTGGGAATAGGGATGTTCTTGGACTTGAAATAAGTTTATACAGAACCTAAGAGGCCAACTCAGGATAGGATTCAGAGCTGTACTCTCTTAATCTTATATTTTCTTAAAACTGAGTAGATTTGCTTCCTTGGTTGTGCTAAACTCAGAAGTAGGGGGCTGTCTAGGCCAGTGTTTCTCAACCTCAGCCACTTTA